AGTATAAATTGAATTACCACGGTAGAATTAAAATCAACTCCTTTAAAATACAATTATCGTAATAATGATCCTTAAAAACAAAGACTTTGCTCTTGCATGCTTTGTCCGCTGGAACCAGTACGTGCTGATCATGTAATCTTTCTAATTATTTTGTCATTTCTGAATTTCATGTACTGAAGAAACTACGCTTACCTTTTTTTATTCGAGATTTCAAAATCCATCTTTTAGTTTTAATCCATTCCCACAAATTAATTTTGAGCAATCTTCATCAGAATTCATGATACTTTTTAGATATAAATTTTTCACTATGTATATGTTTCAAACATTAGCGGGTTATGTATTTTCTCTCTTATCTAACATTCGATAATCCCCTAGTAGCAAAGACAATATTTTATTGTTCAAGCATATGTAAAATTATCATGATGTTAATTATCTTTATCTTTCATCCATCTGTTATCATCGCCATTAAGGAAAAGAATAATTTCCAAATGCTACTCATAACATACGATTCGAATATCCTCTACAAGATGCATTCTTTCTTTCTCTTTATCTGATGAAATTTGGAATGTTGCAATTCAAATGCTATTACATAGAAAAACATAGTTAGAATTTACTTTGTGTAAAAATCCATAATAAACTTTTCATTATCTTCAATTACGATAGTTTGTTGCTATTAATCATTTATTCATAAAATGACGATAAAAGGTCAGATTAATTCTGTACCAAACAACCCAGGGCATGTTTTCTGATTCATAAACATGATAAAGGCCATATAAAATGAAAATCACGGCTACTTACATTTATTTTATCTATTCTCTGTTTTTTTGTTTGAAGAGAAAATTTGTAAAACAACAAGATATTTTTCACTACATCCTAAGAAATTTAGACGGAGTTCACGCACACATTTAAAATTTTACAACAGACTTAAATAAAGTTAAAATACAATGCACTAATTTGAATTTCCTAACATTGAGACTTTTTTCTCCAGTCATTATAAAAAAAAATCCTTACCTATACTGAGAATATTAGGAAAAAATAATTAATCATAAAATAATTAATCATAAGCGTTTTACGATGACTTTCATTTCAGATTTGAAGTTAACAATATAATTACAGAAAATAAATCAGAAATATTTAAATCTCTCAAATCTGTAAAAGTAGCCCCTTAATCCATACATGTACGAAACACAAAGTATATTCATTTATTAAACAGGAAAAGAAACAAATTAATGTCAGGTTTTGCATGATTGGTATTTGTGCCAGGCATTCTAATTGACTGAAATGTTACCACGCTCCGTTCGTATAAGATCAGCATTCCAAACAACTGGACATGATTATTTATAACATCAATATTTTTGGGTTGCCACACAGAGCTCGCTCATATGTGCTGTATTTACGGCTGCTGGCCTGTGTAGTGTAGTTCTACATTAGACCTGCTGGCCTGTGTAGTGTAGTTCTACATTAAACGTGCTGTATTTACGGCTGCTGATCTGTGTAGTTTAAACAATTTCGGTTGTGTTTGCTATTCAGATTTACACTAGTTCAGAAAAATGTATATAACGACCTGCTGGTCAATGCATGGGTAATTCAAACATTGTTTGCTCATATTTATGTTAGCATTTTTAGTTCAGTTTCCTCAATGAAATATCTTGAAAAATTGATTTTTGCAAAGTGATAAACGTATAAATACTTACCTTGTCAAATTTTGTAACGGTGTGTATTTTGCTCCCGATAATACATATAGATATATTAAGTATTTAACTTAAAGCACTGTTTTATACATTCGAACACTGGTGTTGGGTAAGTGAATAGGTACACACGATATTGTAATGGATTTATCAAATGTCTGTCACTTATCAACTTTACTGAAGATGAAAATGAAAAACGCATATTATTTCAATTTTTTAGATTTTCTGTTCTATCACAAAATACTAACAAATTCCGAAATAATAGCGCGAACAGTACATTAAGTTATACTTAGGTATACGATTTTTCGAACAGAAGAAAAATATGTTTTCTTTTTGTTCGAAAAATCACGAGCATTTTAATACATTGATATCCGATTTCTCTAAATTATTCCAAATGCTTGCTTGTCATCCTGGCACGGGTATGTTTTATGATATTTTTGTCAAAAGCTTCGCATAACTTAGGAAGACATCAAATTATAAATCAGCATGCAGGGTTCATGAGAATATTTAACACAGGAATTTATCCCTAAATATATACATTTGTGGTATCTCTATTATATAAACATACAGAGAGCAAATATCTTCATACCTGTATGAAGTTTTTCGTAGGTCATAGGTCATTACGTGACCTAATCACACAGCGCAGTAATATATACATAAAAAGACTTACTCTACTTTGAAATATAGCATGTTTTTCATGCATAAAAATGTACAAAATACCCAAGTAAAATAATAATCATTTTATTTACAATGTAAACGAGCAATTAATACAGTCCTTGATCGATTTTACATAGAGAATAGAAAACTACGTGTTATAAATTTCACGTCTGAGCTGCAGAGTCTCAACGTTTACCCTTATTTTTCTTGTAGACCTCTGATGCTATTTTTTTTTCATTAAACTTTACTCACAATAAATTTGAAAATCTGTTGGAAAATATCAATGTAATGCAATCACGCCACAAGCAACTGACCATGCTAACAAACACTGCACTTCGGAAGTTCGGTAGGCACACCTCCATCATCGAGATCGTTGTCTTAACAATGTAAGCTGTCGCCTGTGTCTCCGTGTCAACATCATAATAAATATGCCTTATTGAAATCGTAGACTTTATGTTTCTGATCAAATTTTAAACTTGATTCCAAGTTAACTGGTCCGGACAAGTGTCTCCATCCATCCCTTTCCGACCGAAATTCCTCAAACTTTTTATTATCAAACATCGGACGTGTTTCTTCACAGGAGTTCGCTATTTTATCAATAAAGTCAATAAAAATTTCTTGTGTTTTTTAACATCGAATATGGGTTCTCACGAGTACAAAAATTCCCAGACACCAATATGCTCACTATAATTGATCACAAGTAGCCTTTCACAGAATATTCCCTTCAAAACAGAATCCTTTGCCAGATGAATTGGAAGCGTAACCGCTTTTCAAGCCGATTTACACCTTGCGTAATTTGTCAAAATCTACGAAGAACAGTTAGTGCAAAATTTATATTCGATTATATTCAATTGTCCGTCTCAAATGTATATATAAGTAATAAACAACAAGTTTAAAAACTTCACTGGGAAATGAAGTGGGTCGGTACGTGATCAAATCTTCTGAGAAGGCCTTCGGCCTTCACAGGATTTGATCACGTGACCGACCCACTTCATTTCCCAGAGAAGTTTTTAGACTTGTTATTGATTTCTTAAATATCTAAAAAAAAAAAGTGTTCACTATTGCATTAAAATGTTACATCTCTACAATATTCTGAATCTGATATATAATTGAAATGAATTAGATCATTTCTCATGTATCTCGCATGTTTTATTAGGTTCCAATTCATCTGATGCTTTACTCACTGTTTTAATGTACTTATATACCATTATTATACTTTTTTACTGTAAAATATCCGTAAAATATGTTGATTATTTAAAAAAAAAAAATCATTATTACAAGGACATATAATCGGGTTCAAACAGCTTCTCTACTCATCCGGTAATCTAAGATACAGGGACATAGGGACCCTCTTATTGCTTATTACCTACCTACCTACCTAGTCCTTGCACCCGGAGGCACATAGGGCAAGGACTAGGGATTTCCATTCTTCTCTGTTCTTAGCTGTCCTCTCCACCTCTCCCCAGGTAAGATTCACTTATTGCTTATTATTGCTCACATTTCTAATACAACGTGAACAACTTATTTCGAAATAACATATCCAAAGAATTTCGAAATAACAGCATAACAGACATGGATATATCTTATCTATAAACATGTGAAATAGATTAAGAATGTGCATTATTTCAGATTCGCGTTGAGATCTTTAAAACATGAACAATTGTATAAATTTTCCTGTGAAGATGATAAAAAGGTAATGATTTTTAACGTAAGCTAAAATGCTCATACATGATATAAAATTTCTTGATCTTTTTTTGTAATTGTTACAATTAATGTAATTGCACTGTTGCTGTGCTTTATAAACTTATGAATGTTTTCATTTAAAAAAAATGTATTTATGAACTGGGCAATCATTGTATTTGTTGATTTTATAACTTAATAACAACAGTTTCGCTTAGACTTGTGCATTGACTTCTTTTATAGCTTAAATAGTTACAATAGTTTTACTTAGACTTGTGTGTTGACTTCTTTTATAACTTAAAGCAGTTACAATAGTTGGGCTTAGATTTGTGCATTGACCTCTTTTATAACTTAAAGCAGTTACAATAGATTCGCTTAGACTTGAGTATAAACTTCTTCTTCTGTAACTTAAAGCAGTTACAATAGTTTCGCTTAGACTTGTGTATTGACTTCTTTTATAACTTAAAGCAGTTACAATAGTTTCGCTAAGATTTGTGCATCTACCTCTTTCATAAGTTAAAGCAGTTACAATAGTTTCGCTTAGACCTGTGTATTGACTTCTTTTATATCTTAAAGCAATACCAAGAGGATAACAGAAAACAATGTTGAGCTGTTAAATTATAAAAAAAAAAATGTTATGTTAATTTTATATTTTATATCAGAATGTTGGTAGGTGGATTGTTTCTCTTTGTCACCTATTATTTTTTAAATGATTACAAATAGAAAAGTACAACATGATCGATTTATCAAATATAAACATGGACCCCTGGAAACGCCAGAGGTGGGATCAGGTGCCTAGGAGGAGTAAGCATCCCTCGTCGACCGATCACATCCGCGGTGAGCATTACGTATTGATCAGGTATACGGAGTACTCAAAAACATAAATTAAAATCTCACCACCACCACGAACATAAACAATTGCGTTCTTTCAAAACAAAGCCGTAACCATTGAGCATATTGCAACTAATTTTAATCTATATATTAAAGTATATATGTGATTTTATAATTACATACTAGTATTAAAATATATAGTTAACAGTATATATGTTATAATGATGAAACTAGATAAAAAATACAATGCATCAAAAATAGTACATTGCTTTTATAGACTAAAGTAACAAGGTGGTTGAAAAGACACTCTTAAATATATTTCGTTTTGTCACTGTGAACTGGTCGCATAGGATGGGTATAATGAAGGAGCTGTCGGTGGCTGGTAGATTTGACCTTGAGGTGTCTCTTGACCTCCCTGGATATGCTCTGGCTGTTTTGAGGTTTGTATTGTTTGAAGGTTCATTGCAGACGTAGATTGATGTGGGGGATAAGTAGCTTGTGCTGGTTGTATTTCACCATCGCCATGTTGAATTTTCCATAATTCTGTGACTGCTTCCATCACCATACATCCATTCTCATTTTCCTGGACTTGCTTCAGGAAGGAAATTACGTCTTCTCCTAAGGTACTGTCAGCAAACAGTTTCATATTTCTTTCCGACAACGCTTGCTTTGAATTCCCAAGTTCCAGTGTCATCAGATTTGATTTTACAAACCTGCAAAATTTATTTAAAGTATGTATGTTGATTGTGGAAAATGCTTATAATATTCTCGACACAAAATACTGCCGGTCACTCCTTTACAATTTAAAATATATCAGTTATTGTAAATCAAAACTTACCAAAGTCTGAAGAAAGGAAGCACAGCTCCAAAGAAGTACAGAAGACCGTCAGCCACAGTGGCGGCGACAGTAAAGATCAACCACCACCAGGCCACCGCCATCATCTGTTCTAAATAAGGATTGAGTGGCAAGGTACACTGAACCAAATATTTCTGAATGTTTTGTAAATTCACAATTCCATATTCACAAAATACATGCCGAGGGAACGCTGGAGAAAATTGAAATAGAGAAATATTGTTTTCTTTTATGTTTCCTAGGATCTGAGATCCATAGCTGGTTTCATTTTCCTGTTTCAGGAACGGATCCAATAGCCCAAGGTGTGTGGAAGCACTCACAAAATATAGCAGTTTGATAAAGCAATGAAAAAGAGTGAGTGCTCCAAGGGATAGAATATTTATTTTTCGATTCTGTATCCATTGCTGTATATAGACCGCCAGCCTTTTACCCATGGATTTGCTATCATCGCCAGGGTTATATGTACAGACAGTGAAATGGATGCCTAATTTTTTCTCCCCCAATTTCCACACCATAAACGGTATTCGAAGAAATATGGCTTGTAATATCAGGATTAATGACACATATTGGTACAGAGTCCGTTCTCCAGTATGGTTCTCATCTGGATTTGCGACCAAAAACACAGTATCATCTGAAAGACCGCGTAGTTTGACAGGAGAATCAGACAACTTCTCAATATGTTTGGCTTCGTAACAAAGAGACTTGCCATAAGCTGCATTCTGCTCAGTAAATTCTACTGGGAAGTTACACTCAATTGGACTAAAATACAGTGGACCAAGGAATGCCAGTAAGCCCAAGATCAGGAAAAGTAATGGAGTCCATTTTCCATTTAGTTTGTCCACCCAACTCTCCCTGGACAAAGTGGAAATTACTCTTGTCATGACTGATCTGAAAAATGATACATTGAATGAGAAAAGGTCCATGTATATTTCGTCAGGTGCAACAAATCTAATATTTTTTTTGTAAAATAATAACAAAATAAGGAATTGCTTTAGCTCTTTCATAGAATAGCGTTCCTGTAAAAATGAAATTAAATGTTTTTCAAGTTTTCAATTTTGTCTGTTATTATAATTGCGTTTTTGCGTATACTCATTAAAAATACAATTAACCTCAAGAAACTTGGATGCAGTTTATATTTGATGTTTCGTAGGAAATACATGGGTGAAAATAAGGTGAATTATGATAAATAAAAACGGCAAGGAGCTCAAAACTGGAAAATTGAGTTTACGTTCAAAAGCAAACACTATGTGTGAACGCTAAATTGTTAAATTATCAATGAAATATTTATTATTTTCTGCTAATGTAGAAACCTTTACAAAAAAAAACAGACTTTCATCAAACATTAACAGTTGATACAGAATCCCCCAGAAGTGATGATCCTGGTTTGAACAGTATATATTTCCAAATTGCGAACAATTTGTCCCAATTAAGCGCGAAATTACACGCTTAATACATGTATTGACATTGTCCTGACAAATAGTAAATACCAGTTTACATGTACATGTTCGGATAAGAGACAGAGAAGTTCTAATGTTCACGATTGAAATATGAAGATAGCGAACACTAATCAAGCTCAAAAATCCAGTCAAACAATACAAATTTGGAGCAGTGCAAACACGGACCTCTAAAAACATCAGAGGTCGGATCAGATGTCATGAAGTAGTAAACATCCCCTGTCGACCTGCCACATCCGCCGTGGACTCCTTGTCATGATCGGACAAACAGAAAATAATGACCTAACAGTTTGTATGAAAAAGTCAGTCAATATTCAACTTAAGATAGATTATCAGGCCTTGTGCAATTTTCCTACTAATGCAAAGAAATTCACACTAGTTTCCAGACTGTTTGAAGAAGGATTAACTGCACCCCATTAAATTCTCCAAAAAGAGTATAAGGTTAAAATAAGTTTAAGAAGCTTTAACGTCAAGCCCGTAGGAACCAAAAATCATTTCCCCAGTATATATTTTACCAATAAAAAAATACATATATTTTTAGTTAAGCCCCCCCCCCCCATTAATTTTGCAAGTATATATAATGCATAAAAACAAGGCTAATTTACGGCTGCACATATCCTAATAAAGCCTGATGACCTTTTTTTTTTTATAATTTGGCTTGACAAGAATTTATTAGGCTGCTTCCTCCTCCTCCCCCCTCCCCCCCCCCCCCCCAGCTTAAATTGTTTCCTATGGCCTGAACGTTATCAGCAAAAACATTTTTTCTCAATTGCATTTAACAATTGAGATCACCCTCTTTTGAAAATTCTTTGCCACCTCTCATCTTGACTGTTCACTGTGTGCAAAAGTGTTCAAAGTATTTTGTCTTCCCTCCTGCTTTAGAAGTCCCCACAGGCCTCTTACATACAAGTATACTATACTGCACGAATTGTGATCACATTGTTAACTATTTCTGATGTTTCACCATTTATGTTTTATACAGACGTCCAATACGACCTTGAAAATATCAAATCTATGCCATAATGCACTCGTTATACATTAAGTAATTTTAAATCATGAAGGATCGAAACCTGCACTAATTCTCAGTAACACAAAAACAGTACTGTTTATACTAAAGGAAGTATATTTATTCTTTGGTAATTTTCTAACAAATCTCAAACGATTAAAAATTTCTTAAGTAACGTACGTTAGATGCATAAGATATAATTAGACCAGTTGCAACAGAAATTTCGCAATATACCATACTGTTTCACTAAAAGAAATAAATTCATCAAAGGGGTTCTTGAGTTTCTTTTTTCTGGTATTCTCATCATTTTCCATTTTAAAAGTAATAGCGTTCTTTTTGATATTTTGAAAGCAAAGAGGAAAAAAAAAACACTTTTTACTTCAAGAAAGTATGATGTCAATATAATTTTGAACAGCAGAAAATTCACACCAGAGAGTAATGTAAACAAAAATGACTCACCGATCAGTTTCCACACAGCTGCTCTGTAAACTGGCCGACTGTTCTGCTCACATTCTGGGACGGTTTATATATTAGATGGTTAGGAGTGCTGAGCAGTTTTCTACTCAGTTAAAAATAACTGTGTTACGAGTAACACAAGAGGCCAATATAGGATATGTTTTACACTGATCCCTTTTCCCATGTTGAAATTCCAATTAGGAGTACATTATGTATAATGTATGGCAGTGACCATCATTTGATGCAAGTGCATGCTTGACCATAGACTATATTTACGTTGTTTTCTATATGAAATTATGACTATCAAGTTTCAGAATATACTGTTCCACATTCATCATCGGAAAACAAAAAAGATCGAATGTCTTTAGATTGAGAAGTTTTGAATTTAGGCCAACAAAAAATTTTTATTATTATGATTATTCTGAAGTGTATAAATTATAAAACTATATAGATAATTATTAAAAAAAAATATGTTCATATCCATCTTTTCTTTGAATGTAAGCCTTCATCTTCAAAAACGAAAATGTCATGAATGAAAAGAAAAAAGAAATATATATATCCTGTCGTTCAAGACATAATTGTATTAAGAGTGTTAGAATTATGTAATTATTGCGGGATACGATTTGTTACTGTGAAACATGCAAGTTCTGTTTTCGTTTGATATAGTAATTGCTTTCTCTAACCAAGGATGTTTTATTCCGACGGATTATATATTATTTGCAGTTCTATCGAAACTGAAAATTATGACATCCAGCTACATGTCCATTTTTTTTTATTTGAAATTGTTATGTATTCTAACGGAGGATGTATTATTCCAACCAGGTTATATACAGCTGTGGATCATATACGGTATGTAATTAGTCCTAGTGTTAGACTTTAAGTGTCCATTTTCTTTTGAGTTTTATTTATTGCCCACTTAGGATAAAATGGAAGGTATTTCTTTCAATCAATTATTTTTTTTAAAATTGTCGTTTTGTATTGTTTGAATGATTGCTTATTTTGGGTATGTTTAATAATTATTGTCTTTATCCTCTTTAATGGTTTAAATTGAATGTCATTTTTTTAGGGGCGGATGGAACACACATGCGTATATTTCATTAATAAAGACAATTTGTTAGATAATTTCTTCGATGTTAACATAATAATTTGGTCACTGTTTAAATTTTTGGTAAATTTGTTGTAAATCTTTAATTGAAATTCAATTGTTTTCTTTTATCTTTAGAAAAAGCATTACCGAACGTGTTTGTAATTTCAAATTTTGACATGTCTCTCCCCGTCTCACGGTGTCGATGCTATTCGCTCATAATTGTGATCAGATTTATTGTCAGATCTTAGACGGGTTTTTCTATGAATTTGTTATGCTCATCATGCTGTATCCCGTTCAGTAAATTAATGTTATTGAGCTTTCTACGGAAGCCCATTAGTGCCAACCTGGATATATATAGGAAAAGCTATTTATAAAAGCAAACCTCAATATATAAAGGAAATGCGAAATATATAAACAGAACCTCGATATATGTAAAGGAAATGCGAAATATATAAACAAAACCTTGATATATATATAAAGGAAATGCGAAATATATAAACAAACCCTCGATATATATAAAGGAAATGCGAAATATAAAAACAAAACCTCGATATATGTAAAGGAAATGCGAAATATATAAACAAAACCTCGAAATATATAAAGGAAATGAGAAATATAAAAACAAAACCTCAATATATGTAAGGGAAATGCGAAATATATAAACAAAACCTTGATATATATATAAAGGAAATGCGAAATATATAAACAAACCCTCGATATATATAAAGAGAAATACAATATATATATACATGTATAAAGAGAAAAATTTAATCACCTTCATTACATCAGGGATTCGCCAACGTATATCTGATGAGCGGCTTCCCGAGCTACTGTTTGAGTGCAAACGGTTGATGTGGCTCAGTTACAGGATGGTATTCAGTGTATTGTTTTTTTTAATTTATTTGTATGTCTTATTAATAATATGATGATTAAAACTGAAGCTTGTAAACTGCTGTCCCTTTTACATTTCAAACGTGTGGGGCAGAATTAAATCAAAGAGACTTTTTTTGCTCAATACGTATATTCCATAGCACTAAAAATTGGAGGTCATTTCAATTGAAATATAATTTATTGCCAAAATGCATGTTATATCATGTTTTATAAGTTTGTTAACTTTTTACTTTGTTTTACACATGATGCATGGAGAATTAAAACAAATCGATAACATAACGAGATTTGGAAGGGGATTCTTTCCGTCATCTTGTCACTAAATAATAACGCCATTATTCTATTTACATGTTTAGTAATATTTACAAAGTAAAACAATAATCCGTAAGTGTGCACTAACTCGTTTCCTTTCATTAATTCCCTAATACATGACATTTTTCATACCAAAGACCCTAAAATTATTACAGTTGTAACTGTCGCCTTAATTCTTCTCTCAGAATCCGATCCTCCCTCACATTTAAATAAAGTAGGGAAGATGTGTACCTTCATATCTCCCCTCTCTCCCATTCCGATTTCCTTTTTGATTATAAATGTTTATCAATTGGCATACAAGTATATTACTTATATAATTAATTTAAATTAATTTGAATATGGGCATAAGAAAAACTGAACTTGTTAAGACTCCATGTTGAACATTATTTTCATAAACTCTCAATTGTGGGACCAAAAGTAATACGGCTAAGTATTTGTAAAACAGTAAACAAGGTAGATTGTGAAAACAAAGTTTATCTAAAATACATGTAAAGCCAATTAATACACAGAAAATACGATACACATTATACTAATTTCATCAATATATAATTAAATGCTTATCTTCTCAATTAAGTACATTATATTAAGTAATTTTAGAATTACAGTTCATTGATATATGTATGCATAAATTTAAAAAAAACACACTATTAAATAGCACCATTCTGCTGATTCTGGGAACGTAATACAGGAGTACTATCACTGATTTCCCTCTGCCAGAAGTTAATCTGTATAATCTTGATGGACAGCTGAGCTCAGGTCACGCTGTGGAAAATTTTCTCTCTATATATTCCTCATTTCTCTTTATATATATCGATGTTTTGTTAATATATTTCGCATATTTCTCTTTATATATATCGAGGTTTTGTTTTTATATTTCGCATTTCCTCTATATATATCGAGGTTTTGTTTTTTATTTCGTATTTCCTTTATATATTTCGATGTTCTGTGTATATATTTCGTATTTCCTTTATATAGTTCGATGTTCTGTTTATATATTTCGTATTTCCTTTATATATTTCGATGTTTTGTTTATATATTTCGTATTTCCTTTATATATTTCGATGTTCTGTTTATATATTTCGCATTTCCTTTATATATTGAGGTTTGCTTTCATATATTGCTTTTCCTTTATATATACGGGTTGGAACTAATGGTCTTCCGTAGCTTTCCTCTAATTTTACTACTGTCTTTAAACTTGTTTCATTGGTTCATTTATGAAAAAGTGGAAGGAGTTGTTAAAGATGAGACGGGTGTGAGTTGGTCTGTTATTCACCCTCTTACAAATATTTGTGTAAAAAATGCAGTTTTCGGTTTGCACTTTTGGAGTTTAATAAGTTCTAACAAGGATATTATTTCTAACAAGGGTATTATTATTTCAAAAAATGACGAAAACATTACATGTTTTAGAGATAAATGGTGTGCTGAACAACATTGGGGACATTAATATCTGGATTACTATATTGGTAACAAATTAAGTAGTCTTTGTTGGCCCATGATGTATTTTTCAAGGTCATCTTCTCGTTAGCGTTCGATTCAGTAATCAGCGTAAAATTCGTCAAAAAATTTATCAAAGTATCAGCTGACTAGCCACCTAAATTTTTGTCCCTTGGACTTTTATTGCACAAACATTCGCACACATATCTAAATCATCATTCTCATTTATATTTTCGAGATAACATGACCATGCAATGGCTCAAAACAAGTAATAACATTGTTTATACTTATATCTTCATGCTTGTTGGATACATTAAAAGTTTGACCGGCACTCTATGCCCTATATCATTAACGTACAATCATTCCTCCGTCCATCATAGCAAAATTGGGTTAACATTAACCTGTTAAACCAATATAAACATGATATGGTACCTTTGCTATGACAATCATTCTTGAATGCGGATGTGAAGTGACATAAGATACATTCCTTACCAGAATTTGTAAGTTAAAATCCATTCATAAATACATTATCTTAAATCCAACAGAAATTCCAATGACATTAAAAACTGAGTGCCAAGAATGGGACAATTCCTTATTCAAAAACAGTGGAATAAACAGATTAGATTCCCTGTAAGACAACTATATCTGGATTCTGGCAGCACCTAAATTATTAACACGCTGACCATTTACTAACTGCGCTAGAGGATTTTTAGAAGGTAAGAGTTCACTTTTTGTTTTCGAGCTTAAATTATGATAGAATTTTTAAGATTTCTATTGATTATACTACCCGAATCTGATTGTGCAGAGACCGAGACGGAATCCCGATATAAATTTCCCTTGTGGAAAAATGTCACAGTTTGGCATCATTTGTTTTTTGCTTTCAGGAGCCTTAAGACAGATGCCGCTTTTATTCCAGCAATTGTCCGTTTGTTGTTGTTGTTGTTTTTAATCAGAGGTGCGATTCCTATTTGATGCAGACTTGTGATTTTGACAATCGGTCGCGATATGTCCTAGCTGGTGGCATAAGGAACATTTCAGTTGCAACACATTGAATGTGCCCTTTTCCAGAACAACTATGACAAATGCGGACATCCCAGCGGTACTGATTGTAATTCCGCATGGCCTCTTGGACGTTAGCGACTTTGAGCCCCCAGTTAATCCAGCCTGTACTGTGTCCTGTAACAAAAGGCCACGCCAAGTTTGTTGCTTTAAGGCATCCGTGAAATTTCCTACTGTTGCGGTCCTTATAACATGTATAACAAAGACAACTGCTGGGTAGTTCAATTACAAATTTGGTGATTATATCTTCGTTGG